AATGCATTAAATTGATCCCTTTTCCAGATTTTTTTAATTTATTTTTAACACAGACAAATTAAAACTATAAAAAATACATAAAAGACAAGGCTTCAATTTAATTCCTTTTCAGACAAAAAAATAATTTGAAATGCACAATGCTAAATTCACACAAAGTTTGCTTCTCTACATTTGAAGATTTCCGTTTTTTGAATAAAAATATAATATTTTTATCTGATTGGTGTGGATATTTTGATATTAATTGGTGGATAAGAATCTTTCATCAGTGAGACCTAACAACCGATCTTTAAAAATATAGTGATAGCACAGAATATTGAAAAATATCTTGACAGCAAATATAGTGAGAAATATTTAAAAATAGCAACTGATCTTTGAATCCATTTCAACTATTTCGACCACTATCTAACATAATATAACATAGCAATCGAGAAATCTAAAGCGATTTAAAAGTTTTTTGTTTTTGTAGTTGAAATTATATTTTATAATTTTATTTATTTAAAATTAATTTTTAGTATTTATAGATAATTTTAATACATTGATGTCAAAAATATTATTTAAAAATATTATCTTTTTATTTCCTAAGTAAAAAATACTTTAAAATACAATTCTGCCACAATTTCAAATATTACTAGATATTCTAATCTATTTAATATACATGATTTTTAAATTATAATTATTTACACTTATAAACATGATAATAAATGTGGAATAGGATTAAAAATTCATGAAGGGCAGTGCGGATTCCTACTCTTGGCTGGATTTTTTTAAAAAAAATTGTTTCTATTTTAAATTTAATTTTCAAAATTTTCTCCATTATTAAAAAAAATAAAAATGAAATTGCTAATCTTGGTCAATACAAGCATACAATGAATATTGTATACTAGTCAAATCCTAGAAAATCTGTCCTCAAATATCCACCGTCAGAAACATCCACATGTCACAATCTCCCACCTACAATGCCTATCCCGCCACGCACTTTTCAAAACCCTAACACATCTTACCCCCACATTTTCCCTCCCTCATTTTCCCGCCTCCCAAACACACCCCTTATTAAAACACCAAACCCTAACCCCGACCATCCCCACTCCATCCCCACCCTCTCTCTGTATCTAAATATCTTCTCTTCTCCCTTCCCATCCAAACACAATGAAACCCACCACCATTTCGAGATCCATTGCCACAAAAAAGAGAAGAAATCACGAGTCCAACTTTTACAGATACTTGAAACCTGGTGCGCTTGCTCAACTCAGGGATTCCAAGATCAGCTCGCTAACACGGTTATCTGTCCATCAATTTGACTCAATCCCTACAACCCCACAACAGATCTCTTCAATTCTTGATCTCGAACAAGTCCCTTGTTTTCTCATGAGCAAGATTCGGGGACCTGCTTGCTCTCTTAAGAGGAAGAGGCTTGTGGCTGCTAGATCTGTGTTTTTACTCAATTTGGATCCTTCTAACTCTCCTGTTTTAGATCCCAGTAGTAGTAATAATGATAATGGTTCTCTAATTAGTGTGTAAATTTCCCCCACCCTTTTGGTTGTAATTTTTTTGTTTAATGAATGGATCAAGAGCATCTAATAAAGTTGTTCAATAATTGAATTGTGGTTGGTTGATTGTTTTCCCCTTTTGTTGTGCTTTCAATTTGTTTATATTCGTTATCATTCAAAGTCTTTTTTTATACTTAGATTTGATGGATAAATGGGAAATTAGCCATCAATGATCTATTGCGCAAGGTGGGCTTTCTTGACTGTTATTTAATCCAACAGTACAAGAATTGATAACCCATCTTTTGGTGGTAATTAAGAACATGAATTGTGTGTCCATTGATGTTAGCCTTACAAGCTTCCTAGTTTTGTTGTTTCTACAATGGTTCTGTTCCATCCAATTTTGGGATGCCTGTGTTTTTTACTGTATAAATGTTGGGAGCTTTCTGGTTGTGATCGAGTTTACAAGTCAATGGATGTATAATGGAGTTCATGGAATGTCATTCAGTCTTACTGATCCTCAAAGTCCTTTTATTTTGTGCTCGAAGGGATAAGGATTAAGGGTTTTATGTTAATTCCTGATCTGTGTGAAGTTGTGCATTGATGATGGAATGATTTACACGTGAATCTCTGGGGGACTGTTTTCGCTAATATTTGAATAGTGTTGTGCGCTTCCATTTCTGCGTTTTTTCCTCCTTCGGGAATTTTTTTTTGGTACTCCCCTAATCTGAAATGATCTGCCAAATTGATCAAGTTAATTATCCTGATAATCAAGGTGTTAAAGATGTTCCTATATTATACTGTTGATGGATGACTGGTATACGATGTTTAATTTTGGTTTGGTTTGATCTAGATGATTATTGACCATTGCCAACGGAATAATCACATGGCGAGGGATTTAGAGGAGTCCCTTCGGCATTTTCCTTGTTCTGATGATCAGAAACCTAACTAAGAAGACACTGAAGATTGTAGTTCAAAATTTGTAGTTGTGATGTTGCTACGAGATGTTGATCAACTTGGAGGGTGGAAAGGTTCTGATCCTCCAGCTGTGTTGGTTCCAGAATGAATGGAGAGATTTGTGCCATTAGACAATGTTTAATGCTTGCTAAGCAGGCTGGGCCGTATTTCCATGAGTTGATGCACCAAGCTTTTACCCCTGCTTTGCATTGATGCAGTTTATTCTTTTGCTTAGAAGGATGGTAACTGGAACTGCAGCGTGCCCCAGTCCATGGAAGGGGGGATAGAGTAGCAAACTTCATGGACTGTTTGGGAGCTAGTCAAGAGGATTCAGTGCTGATCAGCACAAAAGGGGTTTAGGGTCAAGTTAACCGTGAATCCAGAGGACAGAACGAGAGGGAGGGTAGGGTGAGGGGCGACTAAAGGGAAAAATGCTAAAGGGTTAGGTTAAGTTTCTTTTTATACCTTTTTCTTGTTCAAATTTGGTTTTACCAGTCTGCTTCAATTGATTCATACTTTCAAAAAATTTTATTTGATGGATATAAGAATTTATGATAGTAAAGTCAATAAATTAGTAGAAAAAAAAAAGGTATAATGATATTTTAAAAATATCAACTCTAAATATATATATATATATATATATATATATATATCTCGAGCATATTAAAAATAAAAAGATTGTGTAAGCCTTGAATTTGAAGTATTTATAATGTATTTATAATTCATGAGTTTTATCATTTTATAAAATAAAAATAATTAAAATATAATTTTATTATTGTGATATTTTAAATTATATTACAGTGATATTTTAAATTATATTACAGTTAAAATAATATATATAGAATCAATAAAAAATACTAAAAGACTTGCAAGGAATCCTAAAAAAACTTTATAAGTAAAGTTGAGCTTAGACAAGGTATTCGGGTCTCTTAAAAGTGAAAGATAAATCCAGATATGTTGTTTAAATTCATGCATGTCAGGTTCAAGGTGTGCATTTCAAGTGTAAAAAGATGCATACCTAGCATCTCTCATAAACAATATGCCTAACCAAATAATAATCATAGGCTTAATACCTTACTAAGGTGCTAATCTAAATGCCTAGGACCTAGCATGACAAATGACACTTGACATAGGCTTGATCTACCATGTCTGAGCCTATTTTTTTAATCCTTAGCTATATACTAGACTCGAGCTTAGTAGCCTTCTTGAGAGTGTTTTTTGATTCATCTGGAGGATTTTTTTAATTTATTTTGAATTTTTTGTTTATTTTATTTGAGCTCATCAAATATATGATTTTAATAAATTGTTAATAAATATGTTTAGTGATTTAGTTGACTGCTGATACATAGCGCTCTTGTATTGAAGATCATTTTAGTGTGGATAATTTTTTTTATTATGCGATAGACAGCAAGTCACATAATTTTTTTAAAAATTAAAAAAATCTATTTATATAGACGTAACTCTGCCCATACATATGGGCTATTTTACAATAGACCTATGACTTTTTGAATCAGGCATTTGATTTTTTCTCCTCTTTTTATCTCTTAGTTTTTTTTTCCTAGTTTTATAAAGAAAGATGTCTATGCACGGGTTGTTTTATAATAGTCCATGAATTTTTTTAATTGAGCATTTAGTTCTTTTTTTAATTTTTTGTATTTTTTTTCCAGTTTCATGTTTAAATATATGGTTTTTTTTATTGAATTTTATAATTTAATATTAAATTAATTATAAATAAATATTTATATTTTTTATCATATAAAAAATTAAATTAATTAAGTGGATTCCATAACTTTGTTGTTGGTTAACTGGGATAAACTTGATTTTCTTTTATTTTGTTCTTTTTAGATCTATCCAATTAATAAAAACACATTAGGACAACTCACATATGGTTCAATATAAAACCCTACTAAGAGTCAAGTCCATTTGTTTTTTTTTTTTTTTAAATGTTTGGTCTTTTTTTTCTTTTAATTCTGTCCTTTAATATTATTTTTTATTGAATTTTATAATTAAGTATTAAGATGAATGTGCATTAATATTTATATTTTTTATCATATAATAAAATAAAAGATTAATTCAATTAAGTGGATTCTATAACATAAGTCATGGATTTAGTGAGTTTATTATGATGAATTTTGCTTCTTCTTTTTTTCTTTAATTTTTTTTCTTTAAATATACCCAGTTGATAATATTATATAAAAAAAATTCTTATATAATTTAATTTAAAATTCACGCTACATAAAAATTCTTTACATTTGACCTATATTTTTTATGATTTAAATACATTTTTTAACATTCAAGAAATTTTTAAATTAAATCATAGCAATAGCGTGATTGGTAATATCATGTTTGTGTTTATATATTTTTCGTTAAACTAGGTTTCTTCCAGCCTAATTAAATTATAAGTTAACATCAATTTCACCAAATCAATTCTTTATTTTATTGAAAACTAATTTGTAATAAACTCAAAATCATCTAGTCATTGGTCCACTTGCCAAGTCTAGTTGAGTTTTAAAATGGTAATGTAAATAATTGTAGATTGAAATCAGGGATACCAGTAAAAAAGAATTAAATGTCCGCTTCGTGTTTATGAAATCTATAATGATAATTACACGCCATATATTTATAATTAAAATAATGTATTCAGGATTGATATATAGTAGTTAAAGAAATATAATTTTTTTTATAATTTTTTTAGGTTTAATCTTGAAATCAAAACCTCCAGGAGAGTTAAGAAATATTTAGTTTTATTTGATATATAAAATAACATGAAAATATTTATCAATGCCGAATAAAATTTTCTTAAAATTATTTTTTAAAAAAAAAAATTAAGTTGCTAATAACCAATAAGAATGATTTATTTTTATATTTTAAAAATATTTTTTATATTTTTTTAAATTTTTAAATATTTTATTAATTTTAAATTAATATGTTTTTAGTGTTTTTAAACTATTGTAATGATATGTTGTTGTTAAAAATATTTTTTTAAAATAAAAAATTATTAATATATATTTTAATATAAAAAATTATTTAAAAAATAATCTAATTACCTGTTAAAGGAAAGAATTTTCTCAGCCAAGAGAGAGAAAAACTATCAGGCCCTTATCTTTATGGACTCGGACTCTTGACCAAGACCCAAGACTTTGTCACCTCAAATAAGATTAATAATAATAATAAAAAAAGAAGAAAATACAGGATGAAGGAAACAGAGAGAGTTGACTTTTTGTAGCGAGCCAAAGACTCTTCTCCTGGGTCTTTTTTGGCTTTCTAAATACGCGGAATTCCAGAATTTCCACGATCTCTCCCTAAAGCCTGCAATACTCATAATTTTTCAATTCTCCTTCTCCAAAAATTATCTTGTCAAATTCATTTTTATTATTGGAATCCCATTCCAATTCTAGTTATAATAATGGGCACTCCACAATTCCCAGATCTAGGAAAACATTGCTCAGTTGAAGATTGCAAGCAGATCGATTTCTTGCCTTTCACTTGTGATCGTTGCCGCCAGGTACTTTGCAATTTGAATGCTGGAATTTAATTCCCAAGCGTTTGATTATTTAATGCTTTTTATTGGGACTGGTTGAAAAGAAAGAAATGTAATGTGTTTTAGATGCTAAGATCATTTAGTCAATGGAACCCATGTTCTCAAAGCATGATTATCGTGTAGACGTTGACTTGGTATTGGATTTCATAAAGAAAAGTGTTAAACTTTGATGTGTTTTATATGCTAAGATCGTTATCTTATTGGAACCCATGATCTTAAACGAGTTCATTAACATGAAAATAGTATGATTATTTTCTTGACATTGACTTGATTTTGGATTTATGAAGTAAAGTTTGCAACTTTGAGGCGTGTTTACTTGATTCTATTTGTGAAGGATTGGCCCTTTTATTGTAAAGCTTTGGCTTTGTTTTATCATTAAGAATTGTAGGCTATAAATGATAGTGGTTTCTTTCATGTTTTAATTTGGTAGCCATTAGCCAAGTCAGAGTATTTGTTCAAATGAAATGGGTTATGCTGTTGTTTTTTGTTGTTTCAAAGATTTGAAATTTGGAGTGTGTTGGTTCTGTTGGAAGCTGAAAGTTGGGGATCATGTTGCAAAATTTGAACTTTGGTGATGATATTAGAGGTTGATTTTGGCTGTTGCTTGTTTGAATTCTAGTCCATGCTTGAAGAATTGTTGAATGAGTTCTTACAGGAAGTTTCGAATCTTCATATTTGCTACTTTCAAAACCTTAAAGACTTTACCAACCCTTTTCCTTAACGAAATAAACAAAAATGCAGTATCTTTATTAAATGGTATATCTGGAAATCCAGGCTACTAAATCAATTGATTGCTTCGTTTTCTACATGTAAAAGTCTAACTGTTTGTTTTCTTTTAGGCTGTAGAACTGTTGCAAAATAAATGGAGCAATTGGGTAGTCGAAGTTAGCTAATTGATTGTTCTTTGTGTTCTGAATGCCAATTTGAGCGCATTTGTTGCATGCATGCATGCTTAGTCTTTGATATTCCTGTTTTGGTCTTCATATATTTTGAATCTCTAATTGCCTGCTGATTGCTGCATTTAATTTTATTAGAACTTTTTTATTTGTGTTAATTGTATTTGCTAAATAATTTGTAGGTATTTTGCTTGGAGCATAGAAGTTATATTAAACACAGTTGCCCAAAAGCTGATAGCAACGGTGTCATTGTTGTCATCTGTCCATTATGTGCGAAGGGAGTTCGCCTAAACCCTGATGAAGACCCAAACATTTCTTGGGAAGTGCATGTTAATACTGACTGTGACCCTTCAAATTATGATAAAGTTACAAAGAAGAGAAAATGCCCTGTCCGGGGTTGCAGGGAGCTCCTTACATTCTCAAACACAATCAAGTGCCGGGATTGCACGCTGGACCATTGCCTGAAACACCGGTTTGGACCAGATCACAATTGTCCTGGACCAAAGAAGCCTGATGTGAGCTTTCCTTTTATGGGTCTCTTGAATAGGAGTAAGAAGGAAGAGTCAAAACCCAATCGAGCTACAGCTGTGTCTTCGTCCAAGTGGACCACTAACTTTCTAAGTGCTGCTTCAACTGTTCGAGCCTCAGCCGAAGCAAGCATGGCGAAATTGAGCAGTGAGATCAGCCAGGTTTGGCAGACTGCAACAAATAGTGCGAGCCCAAGCAGCAGCAATGGAAGTGGAGGAATTGGGCCAGAGGAGTGTCCGCAGTGTGGTACGAGGTTTTCCTCAGTCACAAATCTGATAGATCACGTGCAGAAGGTCCATGAAAAGGGTGGAAATCAATCTCGTGTCTTACAACTGCCAATGGAGGTATGCCCAAAGTGTAGTAAGGGTTTTCGTGATCCAGTGGCTCTTGTGGAGCATGTTGAGAGAGATCATAGAGGTACTTCCAAAGCCTAGAAAGGTTTGGCTGTCAAAACAGCGAAGTGTGCTTCCAGAGTAGTCATTGTTTTTCTATTTCTGATCGCTTTCATTATTTTTTAAAGTCAGTACAGAAGCAAATGTAACTTTTGAGCGTTGAGGCAATTTGTATGGTTTTATACTGTCAGTGACTTTCACACAAAGGCCTTTTTGTTAATGATAGAAGGTGTCAGGCGATTGAATTCTTTGCTTTTGCGGGTTCTTGCAAATTCCTGGCTTCATTTGATTTTCTACTCAGCTGTGGAGAGGATAGCCAATCTAAGCAATTAGGATATAGGATCGTTGCAACGTTTTTGGAAACTGCACCGTATCTTAAACAAAATGTTTTCTCATGAGATACTATATGAGTCGTGTAAAATAAAAAATAAGGACCGGGGAGCATGCGAATTTGTAAATGCTTCCTCTTCCCAGAACTTCTGTAGCTGGAAACAAAATGGCTGCCGACTGCCAAGTCTGGGAGTTGTCAGGGACCAGATATAGAGCTGGGAAGGTGGTAGGCCCTGATGTCCTCCTCCTCCTTGTTCTGAAGATGCATTAACGTGAACAACTTAGCGATATGGATGATGGATAGCAGCTTAAGCCACCATATACGGAAAGAAGTGGCTGTGACTATCAGCTTTTTTTTCTGCCATAACGAGTGGTTGGCTGGTTGCATGCTCGCATTCCATTTTTTAAGCATCTTAGGCAGAAAACAACTCATATTCATTCAATGTAATCAGTCCTTTCAACCTAATCTTTGCTTAGCAGACAATCTTGTGGAAGCTGCTTGAAATATACTGGTTGAATGAAGGTACTAAATTTGGGGCAGGGAATCATCACAAAGTCAGCCGGCCTACAACGCCTGAACTTGGAGTAACAAATGGAAAATTGTCTGCTCCTCTCTTTTTTAACAGGGAAGTTAATGAAATCAAGATCGAGTTTTTCTCTCACTCGTACAAAAGGTGATTAATATGAGTTGTCAAGAGCAGTGGAAGTTGCTGGCTAGCTAAGAATTGCAAGGCACTTGAGTATCATTTCAAAAGGCTCCTTAAAGAGATGGCCATCTAATCCTTATGTTTCATTAACAATGAATATGTTTTTATTAATCATTTTCAGAGTTTTGCTTTGGAGTACAGAATGGTTATGACCTTTAATCAAATACTCTTTTGCCATACGGTTTATCAGAGTCTTATTGCCAATTTGTTGCTCATTTGCTAACCCTTTTTTTTTTTTTTTTACCAATTTTCCATATCAAAATTAAAGTCAAACCATCCTACGCTTCCACCTGCCTGCACTTTTTGTTGAGCGATGAATTAAAATTTTTTAAAACTTAATAAAGCATAATTAAATTGTTAATAATTTTTTTAATATTATTATTAAATTCTGTTTAACAATTCAAATTTGAAAAAACCTTTAATCAACTCAGTTGGTCTATCAACTTTTTAACTAAGGTTATAAACTTCACTTGGTTGAATTAGTTTTTTTATTTATTATATAATAGAAAATATAAATTAATTTATAATTAACCTGATTAATACTAAATGATAAAATTTAATATTAATATCCCACTGGATTATAAAATTGATAACAAAAAAACCAAAAAATATATAAAAAGTGCCAAAAAACCTCAACCTAACTCTTTAATTAATATTCAATACATTTATTAAATTTATGATCTATATTATGAACTTATTTTAATTATTTTTATTTTATATTTTATTATATGATAAGAAATATAAAAATAATTTATCATCAATCTAAAAAGATAGATTAAATAAACCCCTCTAAATGATGAATTAAAAAAAAAACCACAAAAAAATAACATAACTAAGGAAAGAAAGCTCAGTCGTGATGAGCTTGGCCTCACCTATAAAGCAATAAGCTCAGTCCGACCAATTTATTTTTGTTTTGCAAGTCACCCGCCTTTTCTTTTTTAAAAACAAAATAAAAGTAAATATGAATAATTAAAATAAAATATTAACCTCTTATTTTAATTGAGAGAAAAAAAAATGTTCCCCTAAGTCTTAAACCCGCGTGCTAACATTATTTTGACATATTAACCACTAGGCTATAACACATAATTTATAATCAAATGATATATTAAAAAAATTAATCTAGCTTTCTATTTATATAAACATTTAAATCAACTCCTAACTTTTTTTAGTTGCTAGTATAATTTAAGCTAGTATCCCGGACAAAAAAAAAAAATCTAGTTGTAGAAATAAAGAATAAATTTGTTCCATAATAGTTTTGAAATGATTTTTTAAAATTTGAAAATAAAAAACACAACAAAAAGCTTTTTATGTTTCTATTTTTTTTATTTTTTTATCTGATATTATAACCGAAAACCACAGCAATATCCAACAAGAATTTATTCCCATTTTCAGATTAATGGGATTTGGTTGCCATTTTCGAAGGCTAAAAAGATGGGGCAAGGAGAACTTCCTCGCAAGGACCAGAGCATCATCGTACCTGTAACGTATAGAACGGTGAACCGGAGGACCGAACAGAACATTAAAAAAAAAACCATACAAATTTCTTAACTGTCATGACAGCACGTTTTTTAGTAATTCGTTAAAACAAGAAACAGAGACAGAGGTAAAGTACTAACTTGGTCCTTATGGTTTTTAAAAGATAACAAATTAGTCCCTCTTGGGAAAAACACAATGTGCTTAATTTTTATGCTTCTAGATTTACGACTTAGTCCTTCCATTGGTTATACACCTATCAAGCAAGTATCCAAAACTTAATCAAAATATTTAATAATATTAGATTTGTTATTAAATTTAAAATATGTACATTTTTTGATGAAGTGAAATAATTAACAAAGGATATAATGGGCTATCAAGAGCATAACAACGAGGCTTCTTAACTATAATGGTTTGCATGTTTATTTTTCATCCATAATACTAGCCTTGTCAACAATACTGGTTACATATAGCGAGTACAATAACACTTTCAAGTATAGAGTTGATAATAACTTGAAAAAAATTGATTTGTGAAAATAAAAAATGGATAGTTGATCAAAGGTTGGTTCAAGGCCGCAATTCATCTACTATTGTGTAGGTTTGAAGGAGACAATAGTGATGCTGGGTGGCTTGAATGAGTTCATGCTGATCGAGTGATTAACTAGTATTGCATGCGCTAATTTTAATTATTGACATTTCTGAAGATAAGAGATTGAGTTATAAAAATTATTGGAGATAAGAGATTAATACCAAGATAAACCTTTGATTTTTTTGGGACATTTTGAGACTAGAAATTATAAAAGTTAGATCTTTTTTACGGTTTTGATCAAAGTTGATCCAGGGTTAACATATAAGTTCCTGAACTAAAAAGATTAATTTATAAATTTATCAAATATCAAAGACCAAGTTATACTTTGCTGGTATAATTCACTGGCACGTCGGCTCCGCATGGAATGCCGTTTATGAACGTGTGGAACTTTTCAATCATTTTTTTTATTTGACATGGCGCCGGCTCATGGTACAAAGATTTTTTCTACCTTTTTTCTTTAGCTTAGTTTTTAGAGAGAGAAAGAAAGAGAGGACAGACATTAAATTGAGTGGCTTGGACAATGCTGGAAATTCGGTGCCTTTTTTACAAGGCTTAGAGAGATTTCCAGCTTCTGTTAAGCTGTTTCTTGGCTCCGAGGTATATTTTATTTTCATGGTTTGATTATTGATATATTTTTGAATTTTCATTTCTCACAACGCATTTGGTTAGTTTTATTTATCTTCAAGAATGTTGATAGTTCATAATAATTTTGTTATTGGTTAATGATTTTGATCCATGTTTTGCTGTTGTTGTAATCCATTTTCCTGAATTTGAATTCCACATTGTTTTCCTAGCGGAATCCGAATTTGTTCTATCTGGTTGTTGAGTTTTGAGTCGTTTTTTAGAACCCCTTCTGTTGAATTTGTAATTTTTCCAACACAGGTTGGCCATTGAATTTGAAGGTACCCAGTTGAGTTTCGAGTCTTTCTTTCCCTTCTTGTTGCCAAAATCTTGAGTATCTGCACGGTTTAGAGGGGAAAGAAAGCAAAATTTTGAGGGAAATTTTTGGAATCCAAAATGAGCGCGATTTCGGGTGTAATTTCAAGGCAAGTAATGCCTGCATGTGGCAGCCTTTGTTTCTTTTGCCCTGCGATGAGGGCAAGGTCCAGACAACCTGTCAAGAGATATAAGAAGCTGATTGCAGATATTTTTCCTCGAAACCAGGTTAGCATTCTTTAAATGGTTTTCTTTTAACATGTTTGTTTCACATTTAGTATGTTTATTCATAATAACAAGTTGTTGGTGATAATTTATTGTTTCTGACCTATCATTGCATTTTTTGGATAATCTATATGAAGACAGGTTTAAAGCATAGCCATTTCAGAAAATAAGCTAGTTATACTTTATATCGTGGCATTCCAATTTGGAGTGTGCATTTTCTTTTTCCCCTCTTTTAGCTGATTGTCTCCCAGTGACAGAAAATGTTCATCTTTCTGTAGTTAGTATTGCATTGATTGGAATCATACCATGTCAATGTCGCAGCTGCCAGCACATGGTCGCTTAATATGAAAAAAAAAGAAGGTTTAAAAGACAAGCATCAACCTTGCATCATGTCACTGGTTGCAAATAATGTATAATTTTTGATAAAATCTTAACATAACAATAAGATGTACACGAGCTTGGAATATGCGAGTAAGATTTTACCATCCAACTCCTAGACGGTCTGTGTTTTCTTTAGGTATTAGAAACTAGTACTTTTAAGCATTCACAAAGAGATTTCATTAAGATCTTGTACCAATGATCCTGGAGCAATTTTGTGATTTGGGGCGATATTGAATCCCCTAATGGCTTTTAAGGTAACCATTTAAGACTCAACATCTTGTTTTCTTTTCCTCTGCCACCACAAATCCCTTTTAGAAAACCTCGTTCTTCTTTTTATCTGTTGTTGAATTTTTTTGATTCCACACCATCAGTCATCTTTCTTTCTACTAGATTGAAACTGAATTTTGTGTGCTGTCCCTTTTGATTTACTTCCCCAGTCAAGCACTTCCTGCTTAAAGATGATGAATCTTAAGCCGCAACAGTTTCTTGCTCTTCTTTGAAAATATGGTTTCATCAAGCAAGCATAATGCATCTGAAATTTTTCATTTGTTCAACAGTGGGGTGATTTGATGTTTAATGTCATTTGTTTGTTAACGCTACATTTAATGAC